AAAAAAACATTAACCCAGTTCTTATGTTTTATCATCTGATGAGCATGTCTTGATTTTGTTAAACAGTTTCATGATCTAATTGGCTTAGATTTTTATTTTAAGTTTTTATTTGATTCCAGTTAACATACAGTGTAATTATTTTCAGGTGTACAATATAGTGATTCAACACTTCCATACATCACCTGGTGCTCATCAGGACAGGTGCCCTTCCTTAATCCCCGTCACCTATTTCACCCATCCCTCCACCCACCTCCTCTCTGGTAACCATCAGTTTGTGCTCTCTAGTTAAGGGTCTGTTTCTTGGTTTGCCTCCCTCTCTCCTTTTTTTCCCTGTGATCGTTTGTTTTGTTTCTTAAATTCCACATGAGTGCTAATTGGCTTAGATTTTAAATTCTCTTCAGCCTTCCTTGATTTTTGAGTTGGAGAGGTTCTTCGGTAGGTTCCTCACGTGGAAGCTGTTTCACCCTTCAGTCATTTTGTTATTCTTTACACTCATTCTTTTTTTCTTGTTTTTTTAAGTAAGCTCTATGCCCAGTGTGGGCCTTGAACTCGCAGGCCCCTTGACACTGGGGTCAAGAGTTACATGCTGTACCCACTTTACACTTATTCCTCTTGTTATGCCTGTGGGCCAAATGTGGACATGCAGGTGGCCCATGGGTCAGAGTAATGGAGTCTTAATGGGCCCATGTTTTTGGTGGATTGATGACTGGTCTTTTGTCCCCAGCCACACCCTCCCCTGGGCTCAGTGAAAGTGTTGCCCTTACTGAAGTGAGCTTTACATATGGAAAGACAGCTGTCACCTAGTCATCCGGCTTTGTGTGTAGACTTAGAGCAAAAGTGAAAGTACTGCTAGAGAACAAGCTTCTTTACATACAGGAAAATTGTATTTATAAAGGTGCTATATCTGTATTCATTACAAGGTGATCTTCTGGTTATCATACAGGAAAAGTAAGATAAAGTCGAGTTAAGCAGGTACCCTGAATGTGTGTTTCACATGTAGCATGACAGGCGATTGGTATTACATTTAGTATCAAAAGCAGCTTTATGCATCAGGAAGACCAGTTCAGGGTTGTTGAAATTGTTAGCCTTTTATAAGAAAGAGTTTTGTATATCTGAACAAGAATGAAATTGAATTCTGTTCAGAATAATGTAGAAAGGACAGGTAGAAAATTTTATTAACGGGGTAAAAAAAGCAAAGTCTAGAAATGAGCAAGGATTTTTAAATACGCCTGAAATTGAAACTATTAGAATTACTGTAACTAAAGACCTGGAATTTGACCCAAAAACATCATTTTGCTTAGTCTTGAAATTTGTTCTCTTTCTTCTGATTTTCTTTTAAATCTTTTTACAAAAGAAAGTGTTGTCTATTTTTTAAATCTGTTATGTCTAGCGGCTCTGTTGTCTGATTCTTTTATTTCACCTAGCCCGTCTTCTATTTCTGAAATATCCCACAAATAATATTTCCTCTTCCAATATAGTCTGAACTCTGGCAGTATTTAGTATTTTAGAGAACAAAATCTCTCTTGCTTGTTTTAGAAACAGATACAAACAGAAAAGTGAGATGATTTTAGCTATTCAGACTTGGCACCAATTCTCTCTTCTTTTGTGCAGTGAAGAAAAGAGCCTTGCCCTAATTTGGTATTGGTACTACTTTTTTTTTTTTTTTTTAGGTGAGGTAAAATCAGTACATTTTAAGTTTCAGGTGTACATTATAATTTGATATCTGTATTCATTACAGTGTGATTTTCTGGTTATCATCCATCACCGTACATTTGACTCCCTTTCCCCACTTCACCCATCTTCCATCCCCTTCCCTTCTGTTAACCTATTCTTCCTGTCTGTGAGTTTGGTTGGTTGGTTTGTTTAGAGTCCACATGTGAGTGAAATCACAGCTTTTGTCTTTCTCTTTCTGACTTATTTCACTTAACTTGATACCCTCAAGGTCCACCCATGTTGTCACAAATGGCAAGATTTTTTTTTTTTTTTAACGGCTGAGCAATATTCCTTTGTGCATATATACCATAATTTCCTTATCCATTCATCCATCGATAGCCATTTAGGTTGTTTCTGTATCTTAGCTATTGTGAATAATGCTGCTATAAATATCAGGGTGCATATATTTTATCAAATCAGTGTTCATATTCTTCAGATGTGGAATAGCTGGATTTTATGGTAGTTCTTTTAATTCTTTTTGTTTGTTTGTTTTATTAAGTTATCTCTATGCGTGGGGCGCCTGGGTGGCTCAGTTGGTTAAGTGTCTGCCTTTGGCTCAGGTCATGATCCTGGGGTCCTGGGATCAAGCCCCGTGTCAGACTTCTTGCTCAGTGGGGAGCCTCCTTCTCCCTCTCCCACTCCCTCTGCCTGCTGCTTCCCTTGCTTGTGCTCTCTCTCTCTGTCAAATAAATAAATAAAATCTTAAAAAAAAAAAAAATCTCTGTGTACAACATGGGGCTTAAACTCACAACCCTGAGATCAAGAGTCCCATGCTCCACCAACTGAGCCAGCCGGGCGCTCCTATGAAAGTTCTCTTAACTTTTTTAGGAAACCTCCACACTGTTTTCCATAGTAGCTGTACTAGTTTACATTTCCAACAACAGTATTGGTTCATTTTTCTGCACATCCTCTCTAACACTTGTTATTTCTTGTCTTTTTGGTGATAACCAATCTAACTGATGTGAGGTGATACCTTGTTGTGGTTTTGGTTTGCATTTCCCGATGATGAGTGGCGTTGAACATCTTTTCATTTGCCTGATGGCCATCTGTATATCTTCTGTGGAAAAATGGGTATTCAGATTCTCTGCCCATTTTTTAATCAGGTTGTTTGGCATCGGTCCTGCTTTTTCTTTTTTTTTTTAAAGATTTTATTTATTTATTTGACAGAGAGAGACACAGCGAGAGAGGGAACACAAGCAGGGGGAGTGGGAGAGGGAGAAGCAGGCTTCCTGCGGAGCAGGGAGCCCGATACGGGGCTCGATCCCAGGACCCTGGGATCATGACCTGAGCCAAAGGCAGACGCTTAACCACTGAGCCACCCAGGCTCCCGGTTCTGCTTTTTCATGAAAAAGCCATGAGGCTTTTTCCATAGCTTTTGTGCTAGGTTATGTTTTTACCAGCTTATTTCTGCTGAATGGGTGTGTGTAGTAAATAATGCCCTTGGATATTTAGTTTTGGTTTGTTTTCCTATTCTTTTTAGATAAGAGTTTCCATGAGCATTTGCTTATTCCTCCAGCTGGCCAATATGTTAAACTTAGCAATAAGATCATCATAGAGACACTTCTTTCCAACTGATTAATTAGAAATAGAAATTACTGGAGATATGCAGCCAAAAAAAAAAACCAACTTTTCATTTTATGTCCTCTCTCAGTGACACTATGACAGCCCTAATCATCCTTTCTTTTCTTTTTTCTTCTTTGTAGCATTACCAGGAATGCAACAAGGTTGAGGTATGTTGGAGCTGATTTGTATGCGTGGGCCCATTTCCCTTGCAAGTTGTTATTGCTCTTTGGTTGTCTTTCGGAGAAGGGACCAGCAGTCAGTTCCCCTTTCATCTCAGTGAGTGTTGGCATACAGGGTGGCCACCGGTTTGAATAGTTCTATTTAAAACCATCAAGATAGGGGCGCCTGCCTGGCTCAGTCAGTGGAGGGTACAACTCTTGATCTTGGGGTTATAGGTTCGAGACCCATGTTACATGTAGAGATTACTTTAAAAAAATAAAGCCTTTAAAAAAATAATAGTATCAAATAAAAAATAAAACCATCAAGATATCTGTCTTCTTTCATTTTGATTTCCAGGATTTAGGCCCCGGAAATGTACAGAAAGAAGTCACACCTTCCTTTGACCAAGTTATCAAGGAGGTAAGAGACTGATTATGTCCTATGCTGTTTCCCTAAATCACAGTGTATGCAATGTGGCAGTTTGTGGAATCAGGATCATCAGGCTTGTGTGTTCAGTGTTTATTCTGAATGAAATTAGACCTTCAATTTAATTTGGGCTTTTCTACATGTATACCATAAAAAAAGAGAAAAAAGCATTGCTTGCTATTTGGATTAGATGCATTTCAAGGAAACTAATTTTGTCCACTCATTTCATCTTTAAAATTGAACAGGTTTCTACTGAGTCTTCTAACAGAGGTGTAAACCTCTGACACAGGGGTGTTGAAGTAGTGGCCAGGCCCTTCGTGTGTTGGATATTATCTGTCTGGAGATGCTTTTACAACATTATTTTGACTTGGGATTGTTCCTCATACCCATTTCCCATTCCCTTCTTCCGCCATTGCAGCTTGTTTTGTGCCTGACCTAATATTTATGGCTTTCAAAACTACTCTCTTATTTCTTTTTTTTAAAGATTTTTTTATTTATTTACGACAGAGAGAGACACAGAGAGAGAGGGAACACAAGCAGGGGGAGAGGGAGAGGGAGAAGCAGGCTTCCCGCTGAGCAGGGAGCCCGATGCGGGGCTCGATCCCAGGACCCTGGGACCACGACCTGAGCCGAAGGCAGACGCTTAACGACTGAGCCACCCAGGCGCCTCTACTCTCTTATTTCTTAGTCTTTACATTGTTTAACCGTCTTTAGTGAGATCACAGTCTTCAGAAAATGCTGCCTTCTAAAATATATATTCCAAAAGAAGCAGGTCTAGATGTCAGATGAATCAACTTTGTTTTCTGTAAATTTTCTACTTTATTTTAAAAGTAGAGGTACAGGTATTAGTATTTTTTTTTTTTTTTTAGTAGTTTCTGTGTTTTCTTAACTTGAGTTAACTCATCCTGTCCCACAGGCTCTTCTCACGACTATCATTGGCTTAGGGGCGAGGGATGTCTTAACTAGATGACTGAAGATAATGTTTAAATGCATAAATGAATAACAGACCTGCTCTATTCACTACCTACCTCCCCAGTGTTGTAATTTCATTTTCTCTGCTACTTCTTTACAGAGTCCTCGGCAAGAAAGGTAAACTAGGATAAATAGCAGCTCTAAGATACTGCACAGTCACAGGGTTGTGGTGGAAAAACTGATCAGAGCTGTTACGTAGGCACAGATTAAACAGAGTCTGACATTTGAATAACATAGATCTCAGAGATCTCTGAAATCGCCCACAGGGAGAACGCAGCTTAAAAATCTAAATACCAGACCTCATAGTTTTATTCCCTGCTTGGTTACTGTTTGCTAGTGACCCTCTTCGTCTTTGGTTTTGTTTTTTTTTCAATCTGTAAAATTGAGAAGATAAGAGAAATCTGCTTTGCATATCAATTTTGAGAAGTAACCATAACAGAACATTGAAATCCGTGAGGGAAAGGTATGCGAGGACTGACAATATATTATATTGTATCACATTCAGGGCAGGAGTGCCGTGTCACCCACGTTATTTCTCACAGGAATCTGAGTGTCGTTTATTTAGATTTCAGACGTGTGTGTTGATTGTTTCTAGACAACTCGAGAGATGATGGCCCGTTCTGCTGCTACCCTCATCACACATCCCTTCCACGGTAGGTTTACAGTTGGTAACTGAAATCTGATTTGTGACCTTACTTTCATAGCATGATCTCTCCTGACTGCTTAGATAGGTTGATATGGGAGTTCACTAAAGTGCCTGCCGTGTGTTGTTTTTTGTTTGCCTGCTTGTTTTGGCATTTATCCAGTTTATCCAGAGAGCAAAGTGTCTTTAGATGGAAAAACTTTTTTTCTTTTTCAGGGCTATCAAAATTTATCTCGACGTAGTTTTAAAAATCTTTTCTCTATGTTCTGCAGTGATCACTCTGAGATCTATGGTACAATTCATTGGCAGAGAATCCAAGTACTGGTAAGTGTTTTTGTTTTCCAGTACTCAAAGAGATCTGTTAAAGTGCTTTACGTTTTTAATGTGCCTTAGAGTTTACAGAACAAATTGATAGATCATTTGTTCTGCACAAAAATGAACAAAAACTGGTAAAATAGAAGAAAATGGCCCAGGTAGGTTTAGGAACCTACCCAGGATCTCAGAGTAAGTTGCAGGGCCACTGAAGCCAAAACTCAGCCTGACTCCATGTGACTGCACCCTTAGGTCGTGATATCTCCACTCCTGTCTCCAAATGCAGCTGTCTTTGCAAAGGGAGGGTGGCAGAAAAGGGAGTGGGACATAAATTCCCTTGTCAAAAGTGATAATTGAACATTTTCTTTAATAGCTCCAAAATAATCTTCATGTATTTTTGCCTTTCCATCTTCTGTACCTAGTGGACTTTATGACTCCATAGTAACCATCTATCGTGAAGAGGGCATCCTAGGATTTTTTGCGTAAGTAAATTGTTGACTTACGTGTGCAATTATTTGTGGGAGTAGAAAGCTTTAATGAAAATCAGGACACGACTCTTTGTTTAGTCCTTGGAGAAGATGTACTCTCTGGGTTTACTTCATGGGAAGCTCTGTTAAAGCCCCTCTGACTTCGAGAATTCTCTTGTCAAGATCCCAAACTTTTGCTTCTAGACATCTAAAACATTGGATATTAGGGTTTTGTTTTTTGTTTGGGGATTTTTTTGTTTTGTTTTCAGTTCTGTTAAAATTTTGTTAAATTCATTCCAAATTTCTACCTTAATAGTAAGTTCCTAATGATATACAGTTGATAAACTGGGGAAACTTAATTTTTGAAAAATGGGAAAATTATCTTCTTTATCCTGAGAGTAATACATTTTTGCAAGGCTGTATTCATTCCCTTGGGTTTCCTTTGGAAGAACTTAGACTATCACTCTCGTTCTTCTGTTAACAGCAGAAACTAGAAATGGTCCTCTTTCATTTTCAGAGTGTTTCCATTAACTGTTTTTATTTGAGTGTCATAGCCTCAAATAAAAGGGGGCCCCTGGCTCACTCAGTTGGTAGACCATGTAGCTCTTGGTCTCAGGGTCTTGAGTTCAAGCCCCACGTTGGGCATGGAGCCTACTTTAAAAAAAAAGAATAAAAATAAATAAGTAAATCGTCTAGGAGATAGGATAGCTATTATATTCTTATTTTAGAGAATAGAAAAAGTTGGTGCTCTGGGGAGTTCATTTGCTGCCGTCACACAGCTGGTAAGTGATGGAAGTGGCATTTGAACCCTGGTCTTCAGTCTGTGGGGTGAGGTTCATCCCACTGCCTCACCTAGGCCACCTAGGCCCTGGTGTTTTTTGATGTCCCTCACCTATCTCTGTTTGGGCCATTCTCATTTTGTAATTTTGTGGTCATTTTCGGCCCTGTCAAATTTGAATATCAAGTAGCTTAGCCAAAACCATATTTAAGTCTCTTCTCCAAAACAGGCACATTTTTGTCCCCCCGCTCATAGTTCTTAATAGTAAGGTGAGCGAGCCATTGGGTGTAGCTTTGAGGGGGTATAGCTGGCCTGCATTTGAAAAATGGGAATGAAAGTCATTAGAGATTAACCTCAAGTACAGTTATGTTAACTGGAATGAACTAGTTAGTGCTAGATTCTGGCATTCAGTGTCTTTTCAGTTCTCTCAAAGACTTTGAAATCTCTCTTTGAGAAGTGTTTGTATTGAGTAGATTATCTTTTTACCGATCACAATTCTTGGTTCTTATTTTTGTTGTTTCTTCATGTAGGGGTCTTATTCCTCGCCTCCTAGGTGACATCATTTCTTTGTGGCTCTGTAACTCACTGGCCTACCTCGTCAATACCTATGCCCTGGACAGTGGGGTAGGTGTGATCTTGATAAGATGTGCTGGTGCTGACTGTATTGTATTCACTGGGCAGCTTGGTTCGCTTTATTTTTTTTAAAGATTTTATTTATTTATTTGACAGGGAGAGACACAGCGAGAGAGGGAACACAAGCAGGGGGAGTGGGAGAGGGAGAAGCAGGCTTCCTGCTGAGCAAGGAGCCTGATGCGGGGCTCGATCCCAGGACCCTGGGATCACGACCCGAGCCAAAGGCACCAAACGACTGAGCCACCCAGGCGCCCCAGCTTGGTTAGCTTTAAAGTAAGGTGGTGGGGCACTTGGCTGGCTCAGACAGTAGAGCATGTGACTCTTAATCTCAGGGTCGCAAGTTCAAACCCCAGGTTTGGCATGGAACCTACTTTAAAAAAAAGATAAGGCGGCATTTTGCCAGACTCATCGTTATATGGCTAAACATTGTCAGTCAGGTTTTCAAAGGCTAATGGGATGACCTAGACTATTTACCATAGAAAGATGCACCTAAAAAGTCCCTAGGGTATAGCTAAGGAAGCCTAAGAAATCTAGCCCTGTCTCTGTGCTGCGAAGAGATCACCTCTGTACTGATCTGTGATTTTTGAGGATACTGCGAAACAGGACAGTTTTATAGTGTATCAAGGGTATTTCATCTAATCTGAAATGTTAAAGGGACTCCTGGTTTGGGCTTTTTAGAAACCTCAGCCTGGGAGGTTTTGAGAATCGGCCTTTCCTGGAAGCTGCGGGCCTCTCTGTACAGAGGCAGCCCCATAGCATGGTGGGAAATAGAACACACGGAGGGAGGACTAAACCCACACACACAGTGCGCTTCTAGAGTACGGAGACTGGTCTCTGCAGCATCTGGGACACAGCTGGGCGCATATAGAGATAGTGACTTGTCCTTCAGATACACCACAAATGTCGTTTCCAAGGATTGGATTTCTAGGACATGGCAAAAGATTACCAGTCTCACTGCCCTTTTTTTTTTTTTTGCTCCTCAGCCATCGTCGTCCCATGCGAGTTTTCTCTTCATATTGAACGAAGTTGATCGTTTTGTCCACTGCCTTTTTATGCTCATAATCAGTATTTTATGTTTTCATCTTGAAATTAATTTTCCAGCTGTCAGAGACACTAAAAATTTAGAACAGATTGATATGGTTGGGGACAATTCGCTCTTAACATCATCTTCATTTCCTTACTCGTTCTAATACAGGCTTTCTTCATGTTTTAGGTTTCCACCATGAGTGAAATGAAGAGTTATTCCCAAGCTGTCACAGGAGTGAGTTTTTTTAAATCCTCTTAACCTAGGGATAGTTGTGTTTTGTTTTGTTTTCTTTTAAATTTCACCTGGGTCATGTGTTATCGCTGCTTTAAGACAACGAGATGTCTCAAAGGAGAGTCTCTTAAGTTCGTTAATGTTTGTCAGAGGTGAGAATAACCCAGAGTCCCTGTGTCACAGGAACAGCACTAACAAGCCCACATGGCTTGGTCTGTTTGGCTTGCCGGGGGGGTGGGCATTTCTCACCACAGCCTGGCCTCCAAGTCTCAGGCCTGCTTCCCACTGCACCCTGCTGATCCTGCCCCGGAGAGCTTCACCCTCTTGAGTCGAGTGAAGTCTTCCAGTAGTTGACTTCTGAAGTAGCTTCCATCATCTTTGGAAGGACACTCACATTTTCTTACTGTCTCCAGGGGTGTTTCAAAATGCTTCATTGTATTTAATTGTGTTTACTTTTTCTGTTAAATAATGTGCTTCAGTTTACTCGAAAGAGGACTCAATCACAATAAGAGAAGCCTTCTGGCCTTTTGTTAAATTGTTGGATGTAGTGGGATGTTAGGAGGAAGCGTCTCCTCCTATTCAGGCTCAAAAATGTGTGATTTCGTCTTTCCTGGGATGCTGAGAAAGCAAAACCAGTGTTGGAGTATTGGCCGCAGTGGCTCTAGGACTTGAAGGGAGAGGAAAGAAGAGACTAAAGATGCAGAATGACCTAATAACTTAGCTGTCTCTTACCACTTTACAGTTTTTTGCCAGTATGTTGACCTATCCCTTTGTGCTTGTCTCTAATCTTATGGCTGTCAACAACTGTGGGTAAGTGCCTTGCATTTCTTATCCTGGTAGTTGGCTGCCTGAACACCTGACAGGCAGAGCAGTCCAGGGAGAGATTTGGGGAAGAAAAGTACAGTTGATGCCTGAATTTTTTCTCTGTCTGCACCATGCACAAGCAACGGCATCAGTTTATATTAGAAGCAGCCCCCTCATGTCCTCTTTGAGAATAGAGAATGGCATAAAAATACCTCTCAAGTACTTACAGATAATGTACACTTGCCTGTAGTTTAGGCGGGATTGTGATCAAATTTCTCTATTTCCACGTCCTTCCTTTATCTTAAACCTTTATCCTCCTTCTTATGAAAGTTACAAAGGGTATGTCAGGGATTGGATGGTAGCCTGTACCTGTTTTTCCTAGGGGCCGCATGGAGAAAGCAAGTTTTAAAGAAAGAAAAGTAGGAAATTTGGTCCCTAGAAAGGTTCTTTTTTCCTTTTTTTTCATGGGAAGTTTCTTAACCTTTCACTGATTCGGTTGGGAGGGTGGGTGGTGATACGGTGGTAGGCACCACTCATTTCCAGCTTCTGGATGCCCAGAGCCTGCACCACATTGGGCAGAAATTTTGCTTCCTGCTTTAATTCAGGACTGTTCCAATACAGTCCCTGACACAGTGTGCCACGAGACCTGTCATGGTTTTCAAACAAGAGGTCAAGCAGAGAGCCGTGTGGAGTTTTGAACATAGTTGTCATATTTCATATCATGTCGCATTCTGTTTGTTTTGTGATTGGTAGGGCGGTGGCCACATTTTAGCCCAGGGCATACTTGAAGGATGAGTTGAATGTATTACTGTTCCTTACAAATGTTTAGGGAGGAAGTGATTATGGGTTATACGTGAGTAAAGCATGTGATCGCCACAGTTTAGATGCATTGTCCTATTTAGGTTCTTTTGAACACCACTTAGTTTTTAGTTTTTAGTTTTTTTTATTTTTTTTATTTTTTTAAGATTTATTTGACAGAGAGAGACACAGTGAGAGAGGGAACACAAGCAGGGGCAGTGGGAGAGGGAGAAGCAGGTTCCCCACTGAGCAGGGAGCCCGATGTGGGGCTCGATCCCAGGACCCTGGGATCATGACCTGAGCCGAAGGCAGATGCTTAACAACTGAGCCACCCAGGCGCCCCAAGTTTTTAGTTTTTAAAGATTTTATTTTTTTATTTATTTGACAGAGAGAGCACAAGCAGGGGGAGCAGCAGAGGGAGAAGGAGAAGCAGGCTCCCCGATGAGCAGGGAGCCCAGTGCAGGGATCGATCCCAGGACCTTGGGATCATGACCTGAGCAGGAGGCAGACGTCTAACTGACTGAGCCACCCTGGGCGCCCCCCCCGACTTAGTTTTTAAATCCCCTTTCTCTGCACTTTAATCATATAATTGCTATATTCTGGAATTATATTCATCCTCAAAAACCCGGATGTTTTTGAAAATTCATAACTGATTGAAGTTTCTGTTTACTTGTTTCAGAGCCTAAATATGAGGGGCACCTGGGTGGTTTAGTCAGGGAGCGTGCAACTCTTGATCTCAGGGTTGTGAGTTCGAGCCCCACATTGGGTATAGAGATTACCTAAAAATAAAAATTCTCGGGGCGCCTGGGTGGCTCAGTCGTTAAGCATCTGCCTTCAGCTCAGGTCATGGTCCCAGGGTCCTGGGATCAAGCCCCACATTGGGCTCCCTGCTCAACGGGAAGCCTGCTTCTCCCTCTCCCACTCCCCCTGCTTGTGTTGCCTCTCTTGCTGTGTCTCTCTCTGTCAAAAAAATAAAAATTAAAAAAAAAAAAAAGACCTAAATATGAGGGAGGGAAATCCTTTTTGGATGCTTTTTCTTTTCCCTGCTCCAGTATAATTTGTTCCATTAAAACTAAAATTGCCTCTTGGGGAACTTTCTAGGTAGGAGAATATTTTGGCAAAGATTTATCGAACTCTTGAGAGAATGCTTTGGAAATGTTAATTTGAATAGCTCTTTTTTTCTCCCCCCCCCCCCCCCGTTTTCAGGCTTGCTGGTGGATGCCCTCCTTACTCCCCAGTATATACTTCTTGGATAGATTGCTGGTGCATGCTACAAAAAGAGGTACTTCTGTCTCATTCTCTCTCTCTCTCTCCATTTTTCCCTCCCTCCTCACCCCTCCTCTCTCTCATACTTTGTTTTGTTTTTGTTTGTCTTCTTAAATAATGTCTCTGGAATCCCAGGTTAATTTTTGTAGGTTACCCTTTAGTTACCAATTAATGTACCCTTTACACTGTTTTGTATGTCACTCCAGCATAGCAGTAAGATGTGCTGCTTAGAAGTATCAGGAGGGGTAATGAGTTAAGAATCCCTAGATGTGACCTAGAAGCCATTTGCACGATCACATTCAAATTATAAATAGGGTCTGGGTAGACAGTTATCCTGGTTTTTAAAACGATGACCTCAATTTCAGATTATTTTTTTCTAACATCACCTCTCTCTAACTTCTCAGGATCTCTTTATATATTCAGGTGTTTTTCTCCAGTATAGTAGAGAGGAAACTGAGAAACAAGAGGTTGTTTATGACATTATTTGTCACAGTGATGTTGATGGAGCTGGTCTCTTACTTCTAGAGTCTTTTTAGAGAATGATTTTATCCAGACTCCCAATTTCTTCTTTGTTACTGCTGTGAAGTGTGTCAACTACAACCAAAAATTCTCAGCCAGTCTAGGCAAAGCTTTATTAGGAACCAAAATAATGGGTGGCTGTGTGCGAAATTTAACACAGGATCACTTTAAGTGGCCATCAGTTTAAAGCTGTTTTTAAGTGGCAAGCACTTTTTCAAGGATTGTAGAAGATAGTGTATGAGGAACCTCTTTGTTGCACTAAACGATAGCACTAGTAATGCATGTGAGAAAGGCCTCTGTTCACAGAGCTCGGGCTCCCCCCAGCCTGAACTCCAAATGAAAAGGCCTAAGCATTACCGTAGTTGCCTTTGCCCAGCATGCAGGCCCGGCAAGCCCCTCTGTGGAGCCAAGCCCCTCTGTGGAGCCAAGCTGCAACACCTGGATCATTTCCATGCAGACCTAACAGTGAACATTCTGGGTTTCATTCTGAGTCTTACACTCTCTGTTAGGCAATCTCCTATTGTGGTCCCCATTTAAAAGGAAAGATGGCCCTTCTTTCCCTATTTTCTAACTAACCCCCTGCTGTACAAAGAAAGTAGATAGAAAATGTATTAGGGTATCAGATACCTTACCTAGGGAGCTGTCAGTCCTCTAAGTGCTTAGGACAACAACAAATCTTGATGGGGTATTTACTGGGTATCAGGCATCGTGCTGAGAGCCTCCTGTGTATCAGCTCCTGTAACCGTCAAAATAACCGTATGAGGATAGGTACCATTCTTTATCGTCCCACCTCACATCTAAAGAAATTGGGACTTTGAACCGTTAAATAACGCTAATTATATAATCCAGGGTTACACAGCCTATGTTTGTGAGAGTGGGATCTATGTGCAGTCTATTCAATTAAGCTTACAACATTATTACTCTAATTGTAAGATTTTATAAGTACTTCCTGGAGATCTGACCATTCCATTAAAAAGTAAATAAAAGCTAGCCCTTAGTGAGTGGTGGGACCGTCTCAGCACTCTGTATGTATTGACTCATATGATAACCTAGCTAGCACGTGGCAGAGCCAGAATCCGAACTGGGAGTTCTGTCTAAATAAGAGATCCTTGCCTTATCCACGTGGCAGCATCGTAGTGAATTCCCAGAAAGCTCGGCTGGGGTCAGAGTGCGCACTGCTGCTCCGTGGTGAGAGCCCCAGTCTTGTCCTGGCCCTTTTTAGTCACATCTCCAGAAAAGTGTGCAGGTGCATCTCTGCTGATTTGGACTGGCTGACCTCATGTTCACACTAGACTTTATTTGTTTTTATTTTATTTTTTTTTCCAGGGAAATATGAGCCGAGGAAATAGCTTGTTTTTCCGGAAGGTCCCCTTTGGGAAGACTTATTGTTGTGACCTGAGAATGTTAATTTGAAGATGTGGGGCAGGGACAGTGACATTTCTATAGTCCCAGATGCACAGAATTATGGGAGAGAATGTTGATTTCTATACAGTGTGGCGCGCTTTTTTAATAATCATTTAATCTTGGGAAAATGGAGGTGTTTGGTGTCTGCCTTTTTTGTTCTTTTTATCAGCACTACATAACTTACCACTGATGTTCCCCCTTTAGTTATTCTGAAGTGGGACATTTTTGCTCCAAACTCGTTCTTTTAAACGGGGAAGAAAAAAAAGTTGTATTTTCCCAAAAGGTATAGGCAGGTTGTTATGTGATTTGAGTCTTAATTTTAAGGCTTTGTAAAATGTAGAGTACATTCTCAAGAAGAAAGAAAGAATTCTACAGAACTTAAGAAATGTAATAAGGTAAACTATATGGGAGGTTATGAATTACCTTTTCTTTACTAAAGTAGACCCTAAAACCTCAGCATCCATCAGAATCTGTCTCCCGTTATATGCTTCTAAGGATGTTTGATTAACCCTGTCTCTCGTCCTTGAAAAAGATAATCCATTGCTAATGACCCTGGAAAATCTCTACACAGGGTATGTACTCCTTCAGTCTCTTACTGCAAAGTAATAAATTATTGCCAACAACAAAAAAGCGGGGGGGAATTACAGAGAACAAGCAAGATTTGGAAAGGAAGCATATTGGCTTCTTTTTCCCCCAAAAAGAAATTCTTGTCGTATAAAATATGAGAAGCGAATACTGCAGCAGTAGCCCGTTCTTTAAGAGCTAAGTGTTTGCCAGTCCCTAAATTGTATCATTATACAGTTCTACACATATATAATATTTCTGTACAGATTATCATCTTACAATCTTTTGTTCAGTTTTTAATTTTGTTTCTTTGTTGTTGCAGAAGGTGAGTAGTTTGCTTTTCTTTCCTAGTGACGGCCCTTGGAAAGTGTACTTAAAACTTCATACCTGGTAATGCACACTTAGGTCCACAGGGCGCTTAGGATATTGACCACCTCGCATGTCATACCCTCAGTTAGTCATGTTAGCATTCATAGGAGGAAAAAACCATTTTAGAAATCATTGCAACTCAAGCATAAAGCTCCTACTTACTCAGGCCTTTTAAAAGCAGTTCAGATGCTCAAAGATGAGAAAGCATATGGTTTCACTTAAATAATCCACTGGGATTTTGCCAGTGAGTAAGCACTTAATTTGCTACTGCTCAGATTTCTCTGTCAAAAGAGCAGCACCCATCATATCAGAGTGAGCATGCAGGGGTCTCCTCCCTCCCGCAGGGTTTGGGACTACAGCCTGAAGCTCATGAGCATGAAATGTCTTTGATGTCTCTTACTTTGTCTCAAAAAGTAATGTAAATTTTATATTCTATTCAATATTATCTGCATTTGTTTTCATATAAAAATGTTTTGCATTACCCACTTTCTCCCCCACCAAAAAAAGAAATCTTCAGTAAAGATGATCTAGGAAAATGTGCCATGTTTATTATCCTGTGGCTTCTGTGCTCATACATGCTTGCCTATTCCTACTGGAGAAGCTTATGACTGTAAGAACCAGTCTGCCGCCAGAGGGCGCCAAGGCTTCGGTTTTTGCCTATGCAAGTTGGGCCATGAAGAATTTTAGGAAGGCCTGGAATTTTTCTAAGTGTCCAGTCAGTCAGTCTTACTTCCTCCAAGCTATAGATCCAATAAGGGTAGCTACACCAGTGGTCCTCCGTGAAATTATATAGGCTGTTAACATAATCAGACATCTAAAGTTTATTCAAGGGTTAGTTAAATGCATGTAGGTACTCTTAAGATCCACCTGCAAGAAATGATGAATTGACTCCTGTGTAAATAAGGATCATCTAGTAAGCTGCACCTGTGAAACTGGGCAAATGGTTTGCCTTGGGAGTGCTGAGCTGAGTTGCCAGGACATAGTCCCCCAGGGAGTGTGATGGTCATTGAAGCCTTGATTGAAGAAAAGAATCTGGGGGTTTCCTGCAACTTTTGGAGTGGCTGTAAAAATAGGGCATACAAGCAGCCTTAGGGTGAAAGAAACTTTAAACATAGCCCTGCGTGGGGCTCCTGGGTGGCTCATTCGGTTAAGCATCCGACTCTTGATCTCGGGTCTTGATCTCAGGATCGGGAGTTAGAGGCCCAGGCTGGGCTCCACTCGGCATGGAGCATGCTTAAAAAACAAAAAACATAGCTCTACATTCCAGCTTCTTACTGAACCTAAACACAACCTCAGCTTTACTATAATTTTCTACTCTAAAAATACCCTCCTTTCCCTCGCTGCATTGAGATTCTCCCTGTACAGTGAGATTCCATCCTAGTAGCCATCTCTCTGTGAAGTCTCTCAGTCTTCCAGACCAGATGAGGTCCACCTGCAAACTCCCCTCCTCCACGGCTTGTAATTACAGTACAGACTAGTCTGACAAAATGGAAACTGCCTCTGTTACTCACTGCTAAGTTCAAGGCTTACACAGCAGTGGCATTATTTCGCTCTGATCTGAAAATCTGTAGGGGGAAAAATAATCATATTTAGCCCTTTAAAGCAGGCCCACCAAAACGTCAGGCTTGCTGGGCTTTAGAGAAAAACTAGCCCGTCACATCGCAGTCCGTGCAGCTGGTCACTTTGAGGTGCTGTGGCAGGTTAAGGGAGCGAGAGAAAAAAAGCATTAGGAAGGAATGAAAGTAATGACTGTCAAGCCTGTCGTGTAAGTTTTAATTCTCAGAATCTTTGGTAGAGGAGGTATCCCCACTTCAGAAAGAAAGTGAAAATGTAGGAATAAGGAAAATTAGTAATGCATTCAAAATTACATAGATCATTCCGAGCTGGATTCACACCTGAGTCTTTCGAATCCGAAGTACGTTTTCTGCTTCACGGAGGCTATGAAGTGCTGAGAAAAAAAGTAGCCACTGAACCAGATGATGAGTAATTCGGCCACGTAAGCAAAAAGGCCCTGCATTTTGGTCAAAGCAATGAAACCAAAAATCATGCCGCCCACAGAGTAGAGTAGAATGGTCTGAAATCAGGACAGACCTAGTTCTTGCCTCTGCAGAACGGCAAACAGGTGAAACAGCCGAAAGTAGGAATGATCGCCATTGCTTTTCCCCGACCGTTCTGATAGTTGATGCAGATGGGAAGCTGAGTTATTATACGGTGAGGATTCCTAGGAGGACCATCAGTCCATGTGTGTGGACTCCCTACTACACTGGGGTGTAACATTTCTTGAAAGTGATTGATGTGTCAGCTCCTCTGATGGATTCTTCTAGAACATCCTTGCATATTGAATGGGTTCATTCAGGCTGCCTCCCTTAGTGCCATAGTGATTTATATCTTCAGAGGTTTTTGTTTTTTAGATATAGACAAAGACATGTGTTTTATCTCCTTTGCAGAGATTTTTAGGCTTACCTAAGGATGTCACATGTGACTTCTCATTTTCTTTTTTCTCCATTGATCCTTCATCTTATTGTCTCTTCAGACAAGTGATCCAGAATCTTGCATTCTGGTTTTTTCCTAAAGGGAAAGTTGTGAATGAAAGATTCTTTTGTCGCCAACCAAAAACTACCCTCTTTCAGAAAAATATCTTTGATGGTAACAGCGATTAATTTTCTCAGGCAACTGAGAGTGTTTTCCTTCCAGCCACCTCTGTGCATACGAATCCGCTTCCTCATCTGTTTGCTGCCTAAAGCGATGTCTGGAGGAGGCCCCCTAGCAGTGCTTGTGTTCAGTCTCCCCAACAGGCCCTGCTAGTCTGCCATGATTGCATGCCCGGGAGACAGAATCTTGAAAAGCCCATTTTTCCTTAGTCTCATAAGTGGATTCACCTGCAGTCCAGGCCCCAAATGTCCAGTCTGGGACCAGTTAAGCAGATTTTGCATTAAAACCACAACTGTTCTGGAACCAACTTACTGCAACCCTGAAAAAAGAATGTTTTCAGTTAGCTGCAGATCTGTACCATACACCAAAATGTGGGCGAACAGTGCTTCAGAGAGTGGCAAGGGAGAGAGGGAGGGAAACAGAAATCCAACACGAAGGTGCTATTCGAGATTCACCACCTTCCTGCGGGGGAGAGCAAGTCATGGAACAGGGCCTGCCCCTCCCAAAATCCGAAACAGGGACAATGGGTGAGAAAGTCTTTGAGCAGCACCAGCTCCTGCCTTGCTAAGGCAGCCGGAAGAACGGACTCTCCCCTGCTAATGCCGCATGCTCATGGAAAAGCTATTCAGTATTGCAGTTTATTTCCAGAGTAGCATTAGGAGCCAGAGGTTAGATAAGGACAAGAGAGAAAGTACCTACTTTCTTTCCATCCAGCCTGGGGCCCTGCCCTTTTGGCGTCAAAATGTGCTTTGGAGAGAATGTGCTTTGGCTGGAAACGAGTAAGGAGGGTGAAAACGGGGAGAACAAAGCTGCACCTCGCTTCAAACAGCTCACCTCCCACTGGAACGCAGTATCATTCATGCCTTCTCCACCCACCCCCACCCCCACCCC